GGGGTGGGGTCTCAGAGAAGGGAGGGGCTTAGAAGGGGAGGAGACTCAGAGAGGGTGGTGTCTCAGAGAAGAGCAGGGCTTAGAAAGGAGTCTCATAAGGGGTGGAGACTCAGGGAAGGGCAGGGCTTAGAAGGGAAGAAGACAGAAGGGGAGAGGCCCAGAAGGAGGGGGGAGTGGGCGTGGCTGTGGGTGCCAGTTGCGTCTGCTCCAGTCTGCACCCACCCTGATGGTGACGCTGCCTATGTGGCTGGTGGCAGGGGTCAGCACGGTCTTCTCATTGGACAGCACTAGTTTTTTGCCTGGGAAGTCGTGGACAGTGACAGTGACCGGAACATCCCCATTCACGTCATGGGCCTCCAGCACCACGGTCTCCTCGCTCTCCAGCCGCAGAATGTTGGGAGTGATGATAGAGTACCTGTCGGAGTGGGGCACGGGAGTGGCGCTGTCATTCCAGGGAGACTCCAGTTCTCACCGGAGTCAGCGCCTGGCAGGCTGTGTGCCCCAGACCCTGGTCCTGGAGAGGATCCAGTGACTGCTGGCCCGCTCGCCCATCCCAATATCCAGGTCCAAATTCTTCTCTGGGCACTGCCACCGTCTCAACCACATGGGCAGGACAGCAATCACCGTGACTCCCGCTCTCAGCCAGCTGGACCTGGCCTTTGAAAGCCTGGGCAATGAGGGGGCATGCACCCCACCAACCCCTGAATCTCCAAGCCTCCAGACTTCAGGACCCACAATTGCCTAAACCCACACAGGCCCCAAACCCTAAACCTCTGCATCTCTAAACACTCCAAATATGTAAACACCCCCAAATATGCAAACACCCCCAGACACCCTAAACTCTACATACCCAAACCCACATTCACCAAAACCTCTAAAGCTCAAATCCTAGAGCACTGCAAACCTAAGCCGAAACTTCCAGCACCCCAGTCCTATAAATACAAACAGTTCCAAACTCCCCAACCCTACAGGAGCCCAGGGTAGCCAAACTCTAAACCTACACCCAAGCTGCAGACTCCCAAACCTTGTGAAGTCCAAGCCTCGGAGTCTCCCTCACCCAACCACACAACCACTAAACACCCATACACCCTAAACCAACAGATGGCCTCAATTCTAGAAACATCTCAACCCCCAGTTCCACAATACCTGGATTCCACAAACACCCAACCCATAAACACCCGAACTCACAGGCAGCCCAAATTTATATAAACCTGCTAACCCCTGAATCCACAAACACCCAAATGCACCCTGAATTCTACAGGGACCTGGACCCCCAGATGCCTGCTTCCAAACTTGAAGCAGTAACCACTCACATGGGACTCCCCAGAGCCAGCGGGAGGTGGGTTAGTAGCAGGAGCAGGAGGCCGGGACCTGAGACAGGCCTCATAGTGCTGGGACAGTGCAGGGACAGAGGGACAGAGGGACAGAGGGAGAGGAAGGGGAGGAGTGAGCAGCGCCTGCTGGAGCTGGCTCTTTATCCGGCCCCTGCCTTTCCCCCACTCAGCCCCTCCTTCTCCCTGTGGCCTCTCCCCTTTCTGGGGCTGCCCCAGATTTCTCAATACCATTTCCTAAGATTTTCAGTCCCTGGGGCCAACATGCCCGTGGGGTGTGTAACCTGAGGGCATGCTCCCCAGCAGCATGAACGTTGCTGCACCCTGCCCTGGACTCTCCCAGGGTCAGGGCCAGCTGGTGAACACAAAGCTTTCTCTGTTGCACCCACTTTGTAGTGGAAGAGCACTAAGGTCTGGAGAACCCCCCACCGCAGATGTCTTGGGCCTCATCCCCAGTTCACTTTTGGCCATGCATTTATCAATCAAACCATTCCTAGGAATTTCTCTGTAGGCTGGGAGCCAGAGCCTTACTTCCAGAGGCTTCCATGCTGAGGGAGGGGAAGTAGAATGGGGGAGGGACGGAGTACAGCACAGAAGTTCCCAGTCTCATGAAATGTTTTCTAGCTCATGTGCAGTGCAGGAGAAAATGAAAAAAAAAAAAAAAAAAAAAAAAAAAAAAAAAAAAAAAAAAAAAAGAAGTGTTTTCCGCAGTGAAATAGAATGCTGCTTCTTGGAGGGTCAGGGAAAACCTCCTGCAGTAGGGTCCCGCTTCAGATGGGCTTTGAGGTATATGTAGGAGTTCACTATCCAGTTGAGCTCATTTTCCAGGGAAGCTCCCCTCACTTACCCTTGTGGGATGCCTGAGTGACTTTGGTGGTGAAAAAAGCCATCACTGAGAAAAGTCCTCATTTCCAGCTTTTGTACCTGTCTTATGTCAGCATCCTGTTAGGACATTATTAAATTGTATTGTGTGTGTGTGTGTGTCTGTGTGCATAATATATTCATATGGATCAGCATCTAAAAGGTATGACTGTATATAGAGGGGAAGGTAGTTTTCCTCCCACCCCTTCTGACGGCATATTCTTTTTGCTTTTTCCTTTTAAAAATCTTTTTCTCACTCTGTCACTCAGGCCAAAGTGCAGTGGTGCGATCACAGCTCACTGCAGCCTCAACCTCCTGGACTCAAGTGATCCTCCTGCCTCAACCTCCCGAGTAGCTGGGACTCCAGGTGCCTGCCACCACCATGCCCAGATAATTTTTTTATTTTTGTGGAGATGGAGTCGCACGACGTTGCCCAGTCCGGTCTTGAACTCCTGGGCTCAAGTGATCCTCCTATAGAAGCCTCGAAAAGCACTGGTGCAAACCACTGTGCCCTGAGCATGGCACATTCGACACTGTTCTTCCCGGTCTCTTCAGTTAAATCTTGGGTTTTTTTTGCTTTTTATTTTTTTAATGAACAATATACCTCAGAGATTGTTCCACCTCAGTGCACAATGAACTTCCTCATTCTTACAGGTTACAGACCTCTTCTTATATTGTGAGAAAGCAACCAGCCTCCTTTTTTTTTTGGGGGGGGGGGCGATTATCTGGTTGCTTTTTTTCTTTTGACAGTCTTGCTCTGTCGCCCAGGCTGGAGTGCGGCACCCTCTCAGCTCACTGCACTCTCCGCCTGCCGGGTTCTAGCGATTCTCCTGCCTCAGCCTCTCAAAGAGCTGGGATCACAGGTGTGCGCCACCACGCCCAGCTTTTTTTTTTTTTTTCTTTTTGTATATTTAGTAGAGACGGGGTTTTGCCATGTTGGCCAGGCTGGTCTCAAACTCCTGACCTCAGGTGATCCGCCCACCTCCGCCTCCCAGAGTGCTGGGATTATAGGTGGGAGCCACCACACCTGACCGCCTGCTGTCATTTTAACTGGCATCCTCTGATGGCCAGTAGCATTGCTGTCCAGGGATAGGAGGTGGATGGTAAAGGGAGGAGAATGGTACATGGGTGGGGTCCCCTTATCACTGGAGAGGTGGTGTCTGAAACTCCATGGAAGGAGTTAATGGGGAGTTTTCTTTGATTTCCTGTAAACCACGTTCTTTCCTGTGCCAGGCGGAGGGGGAGGAATGGAGCGTGAGAACAGACCTGGCGTCCGTCTGCACTGATTGCAACACACTCTTTGGAAGAGGAGGAGGAAGGAGAATGCAAACACCTGCTTGCTCTCCAGAATTAGGGTTCAGCTTTTGAGACTGCAACCCCTGGCCAGGTGCAATCGCTCACGCTTGCAATCCCAGCACTTTGGGAGGCTGAGGCGGGCACATCACCTGAGGTCAGGAGTTTAAGACCAGCCCGGCCAACGTGGTGAAACCTCATTTCTACTAAAAATACAAAAATTAGCCAGCCATGATGGCAGGCATCTGTAATCCCATCTACTCAGGAGGCTGAGGCAGGAGAATCGCTTGAACCTGGGAGGTAGAGGTTGCAGTGGGCCGAGATCGTGCCATTGCCCTCCAGCCTGGGCGACAAGAGTGAGACTCTGTCTCAAAAAAAATTAGCTGGGCATGGTGGCATGTGCCTGTAATCCCAGCTACTCAGGAGGCTGAGGCAGGAGAATTACTTGAACCTGGGGAGGGTCTGGCCCTGCTGTGACCTCCAAGAAGTGACCAGAGGGGAGTAGCAAGATGAGATGTGAGAGGGTCGAAGGCTGGAGTGGATCATAGCCTGCTAGGAAGGAGGGAGGCGAGCTGGGGAATTCTTTAGAAGCTCATGACTTTTTTCTGGGAGATGTGCATTTGTGTCGAGGTTTGGGAGGGGGAAGGTACACAAAGATGAGCCAGCAGGGGAGGGAGAGGAGATCTGGGTGTGTAGAGGGTACTTTCCATTTGCAGGTCCACCCAGCCCAGCATTCCAGAAAGCAAGGGAGGGAGAGAGGGAGAGTACGGCCACGTGGGCTGACCATTCGTGGGTTATCTGGGAGCTACGTATACTGAAAAAATATTTGTTATTTATCTGAAATTCAAATGTAACCGAGCGTCCTGAATTCTGTTGGGCAACCCTAGCTGGGGTGTAAGGGGAAAATGAGAAGAGGCCAGGGCACAGTGGCTCACGCTTGAAATCCCAGCACTTCCGGGAAGCCAAGGTGAGAGCATCGTTTGAGCCCCGGAGTTCAAGACGAGCCTGAGAAATACAGTGCAACTTTGTCTCTACAATTAAAAAAAAAAAAAAAAAAATTAGCAGAGCATGGTGGCAGGCCTGTAGTCCCAGTTCCTTGGGAGGCTGAGGCAGGAGGAGTTAGAGGCTGCAGTGAGCTCTGACCACACCATTGTCCCAGCCCGGATGATGGAGCAAGACTCTGTCTCTAAAAAAATAAAATAAAATAGGCCGGGCGCGGTGGCTCAAGCCTGTAATCCCAGCACTTTGGGAGGCCGAGGCGGGTGGATCACGAGGTCAAGAGATCGAGACCATCCTGGTCAACATGGTGAAACCCCGTCTTTACTAAAAATACAAAAAATTAGCTGGGCATGGTGGCGCGTGCCTGTAATCCCAGCTACTCAGGAGGTTGAGGCAGGAGAATTGCCTGAACCCAGGAGGCGGAGGTTGCGGTGAGTCGAGATCGCGCCATTGCACTCCAGCCTGGGTAACATGAGTGAAACTCCGTCTCAAAAAAAAAAAAAATAAATAAATAAAAAATAAAATAAAGCAAAGGGTGGGGTGTGGTGGCTCATACCTCTAATCCTAGCACTTTGGGAGGCTGAGGCCGGTGGATCACGAGGTCAGGAGACCAAGACCATCCTGGCTAACATGGTGAAACCCCGTCTCTTTTTGTAAAAATACAAAAAATTAGCCGGGCGTGGTGGCACGCAACTGTAGTCCCAGCTACTCGGGAGGCTGAAGCGGGAGAATCGCTTGAGCCCAGGAGGTGTAGGTTGGAGTGAGCCGAGATCGCACCACTGCACTCCAGCCTGGGCGACAGAACGAGACTGTCTCTAAATAAATAAATAAAAAGACAAAGAAAAAAGAAAGAAAATGAGAGGAAGGAAGCGGGAATGATCGTTGGGTGGGGACCCAAATAGCCCTGCTTCACACCTGCCTGGGTTTACTTACACCCCGCTACACCCCATCCCTTCCCCGCGACAGAGGGAGCAGCTGGGAAGCCCCTTATCCCACCGTCTAATTCCGGGTTGAGGTGCCTGCTTTCCTAGAATTTTTCTCCAGGACCCAGAGCCAGGCCCTCCCCTCTGCCACCCCATTACTGATTAATTCAAGTTAACCTTGACCTGGCTGAACCAATCTAACTGCCTGGTGATAATGGCTCTTTCCCTCCTCTCCCTCTCGTACACTCTGCAGAAAGAAGCGGGGCCCTGGGTACTCCCACTCTGGGAAAATGGAGAGCAGTGGGTTTTGATTCCAGCTCTGCGGGGCCCCTAGGCAGGTCTGACCCCTCCTCCAAATCAGTTCCTAATTTGTCAACTGGAGATCACAGCCTAGAGCCTCCTTTCTAGTCTTGTAGTGAAAGTCCCGAGTAGCACCAAGGGGTGCTTAGCCCGGCGCCCCGCACATACTGAGGGCTCAGTACACTTGAACTGCATTTTTTCTTTTTTGAGAAAGAGTCTCGCTGTTGTTGCCCCCGGGCTGGAGTGCAATGGCGATCCCGGCTCACTGCGACCTCTGCCCCCCGGGTTCCAGCGATTCTCCTCCTTCACCCTCCCAAGTAGCTGGGGTTACAGGCACCCACCACCACACCTGGGTAATTTTTTTTTTTTTTTTGAGACGGAGTTTCGCTCTTGTTACCCAGGCTGGAGTGCAATGGCGCGATCTCGGCTCACCGCAACCTCCGCCTCCCGGGTTCAGGCAATTCTCCTGCCCCAGCCTCCTGAGTCGCTGGGATTACAGGCATGCGCCACCATGCCCAGCTAATTTTTTGTATTTTTAGTAGAGGCGGGGTTTCACCATGTTGACCAGGATGGTCTCGATCTCTTGACCTCGTGATCCACCCACCTCAGCCTCCCAAAGTGCTGGGATTACAGGGGTGAGCCACCGCGCCCGGCACCCGGGTATTTTTTGTATTTTTAGTAGACGGGGTTTCACCATGTTAGCCAGGCTGGTCTCGAACTCTTGATGAACTGCCTTTTTACTTTTGCTAACACCCGCGTCTTCTCCC